ATGTGTGAATTAAACTGAAAATAGAGTGTTAATGTTACATCAATGTGGGACAAAGGCTGAGAGAGTACTGCAGACAAAAAGTAGTTTGCAAAATGTAGAAGACCCTGAAAACACGGCTAATTAAGGATTTTAAGTTACTGGAGGGAAAGGCATTGAAATGACAGTTTCAATAATGCTTTCATTTAGCATAAAATTAATTTTATGGTTGTGATAAACTTTCCTTTTTTTTTTTTTTTACTACAAATAGGATTTTAAAAAGTACAGAAAATTCAGTTAGACTTGTTTGTATGGTTGTTCTCCCTCCCCCCCTAACATGTTATCTATACACATATTATTTATAGACAATAAATTTAACCAAAGAAAAGTGAAACAAAAAGATGAACAAAAAGCTACATAAAAATAAAAAAGTGCACAAGCATCGTTCCACTTTTTGTTGAGCCCACATGTCGTAAAGGAGTGTGAAGAAGTACTTTCTGTGGGAGTTCAATTTTCTGCAGTCTCTGAAGTTCCAAGATGGCACTCAATCAATCACACCTGTCACCCATTTCTCCTGATGATGAGCCAGGAGTATATAAGACTGCAAGAGGACTCTAATCCCTGCAATCCTTGTGGACCTCCTCAGCTGTCTTCCTGCATTCCAGCCACTTGCCTGCCACACCTGAGACACCCTCCTCCTCCGTACTGGAATCCTTGTGGACTTTCTTCCTTGCTTTGTCTCATAACACCAGCTGTAAGGACGGCAGTCACATTAATCTGCATCTGTTGGAACTCCACCATCCTGACCTCTCTCCTTGTTCCCCAGGTTTCCAGAGCCTACCTTGTACATTTTGCACTGTAAATAAAATACTGTTAATGTTTCTATGTTCCAAGTCTGTTTTGTTTCAGTCCATGTTATCTGGGTCCCTAGCATTTGTTAAACATACAGTCCCTTGATACTTCGTGGTTTGACTGCAGACTCACTCTTTTGCAGGTTTTCTATGTAAGCTTGTACATGATACATGATTGGCTGATTGATGGAAGGCAACCAACCAGAGTATTGTGCTGAGGGGCAGACTGGCCATCAGGACTACCAGGACATTTCCCGGTGGCCTGGCCCACTCAGTGATCACTGAAGGGCCCCCTCCTTTCTCTTTCTGAGGCTGTCTGTCACAGCAGAGTAGAGACACACAATAGGTGGGTCCGCAACCCTGGTTTAGAGCATTTAGAACATTGTTACTAACATTGCAAGAGTGTGGGAAGGGTTTATAAAGCCTTAATATATATAAATACTAAAATATATAAATATAATGTCCCTACTTGACAGATTGTGCGTAGTCAAGAGGTTACTGATGCCGAAGTGCTTTAAGGTGATAGTTTAGATTTTTTTGAAGTGGGGCATTGTGAAAAAGTTGAAAATATTTAACATCTTACCTGTTGTAAATAATGTTTTGAACAATTTCTCTTTGGAGAATTAGAGTTTATTTCTAACTAAACTGACCAGCTAATGGCTCGTCCAAGCAGGGCCAAGATCAAAATAGATTGTGCCATCCTAAAATAATTCCAGTTTAAAAAATTAAAATGTATTATGCAATTATTATCTTATAAACAATGAAATTGCTGTCAATTTTTTGTTTCATTGTTAACTATATGAAACTCTATGGTATTTTGAACATATAAATAGCACCAGGAGCATCTTACTACGCAGGTATTGAGATGACAACAATCCACTCTGGTTAGTTTGTCATCTCGGTCAGAATTAAACTCTCACTGCAAACTGAGTTCATTCAAACAGCTGTAATGAAGTAAGATTTTACTTGTTAATAATAAAAGAGTGATTTAGATGGACGTAATATTTCTAAATTCTGACCAATTCACAGAAAAGTTAGAAAATGCTATTTTTTAATCCCTAGAGCAAAACAAGTCATTTTAGCTTCCAAATGAGAAAAATAATGTAAGAGTTTAAAAGTGAATGAATTTCAGAGTAAAGATTTTGAAATAGCTAGTTTGTGTTTCTAAACATTACAAGTGCCTGCATATAATGCCAAAGAGCTCATTTATTTACCCAATTCAGTACAGCACTGTCTGAAGCTGTCAGAAAACGCCATCTGTTGATTTGTGTTCCTAAACAGAAGTTTCTCGGTTTTGTTCTGGAAAGAATTGCCACTATCTTGTAAAGCTGCCACGAGTGTTCGAGAGTCATTCCAAAATGGAAATTTGTTTCATTTAAATGGAAAAATGGAAATTACGTCCTCAAATGCGCCAAGATTTTTTTATTTTTTTTTTTGTAAGGTGTGTTTTTTTTCCTCCCTCAATTTGCATTTAGCTCATGTTGATACCAAACACTTGCATTTTTTATGAGTGCTGTTGAATTATAAATGAATGCAACCACCTGTGAGGAAAACCTCAAACTAAAATCTATTCAGTTTGTTCTGTGAAGGGGATAAAAACGAGTCACGCTGCAGTCAGCGTCAATATGTTCTCCAGAGTGTCAAGTGCGTATGACGCAAAGCACGTGGATTACATTGATTGAACACACACTCTTACACAACATGTAGACACACACACACTTTAAAGAACCACACTTCACAGGAGCAATGCAGCCGATCCTTGGGGATTCTCCATGAAGCCTGGCGTGCCTGATCAAATTCTTAAAGCAAGTGCACATGCAAAATACCAAACATCTGCCTTTCTAACTCCTCGGTGAACATCTACTTCAGTTACATCTCATACAAGTATTTAAAAAAGCAGATTAATGCTTCTTTGCTTCATTCCAGGGGCGATTATAGAATCTAATCTTTAGGGGCGCTTAGCCCCCAGTGCTGACAATGGCTCTTGGCTGGAACAACATAATGGCCATTGGCATCAGAAGCATTTGTAATGTGAAGAGCACACACTGGTGCGGGGGTCTGGGGGTCCTCCCCCATAAAATTTTGAATCAAGTAGATACCATTTCCTGCATTCTGGTGTACTTTAACAGGTTGTTTAACTTCTAGTTTTACCTAAATAAGTAAACGCTTGATTCAATAACTATTTTCGCGAGCAAGGTACAACAAGAAGTAGCACTAGCGGCGCACAATACAGACACACTAGCTAAGATGCAGACGTAGGGCTCTGCTTCACATTACACAACATCATAAACACTTTGTACAAATTCAGTTTAGTGTTAACTGATCATAACAAATACTAAACTTATGCAACCAGAAGTTGCAACATATATAAAACACCCAAAACAAAGCACAACTAGCTTTAAGCATTAACCTTTAATTTAACCATTAATACAATGTACAATGTAATTATGAAAAAAAAAAAAAAAAAAGAGGATTATCTGCAGTTACCTTTGTACAGATGAACATGTGGCACTTCCTGTTTATCACTGTTGTATTCAGTTGCTCATGAGGTCGTCCGCAGGGCTTTATCATCTTTTACGTTTCTAGACTCCGTTTAGGTTTTGTAAATGTAATAAACTGTACCACAGCCTATAAACATTCAGGGTAACACGTGTCTGAATTATATCTTCCCCACTGACAACGTTTACCTATTTTTCTGATGATTTTTCATGAAATTCCTCTTTCCGCAAAGCGTTGTTAATGCAAAACCCGAAAAAGGGGGTGGAGCTCCTGCAGGTAAGGGGCATTTCACATTGGGGCAAATTGAGATCACCGATTGGTCAGTTGCTGACAAGCCTGCTGGAATGACTGACAGGCGGCATCGAGGATCCGACTCGTGCAAAAATAAAACCATAGATATTACTAACTCGTTTAAGAGTATCATCATTTATTCTAAACGTATTAAATATTTTGATGAATCTGAGGTTTGAGAGCTGAGTTTCCTTATACAATCCTAATGATGGCTTCTTTATTGTTCAGGGGTGCTGAGTTCAAATTTATGGGTGCTTGAGCACCCCCCAAAAAGAAGCTAAAATCACCACTGCTCCCTTTGGTTTCTTGTTTATTGTAATAATCTCCAGATATATATTTCTCAAAGACAAAAGAAAAATCTTTAAATCAATCATACTGTAAGTCATTTCACCACCAATGTAAAATACATGTAATAAACATATTAAATATATCAACATGCAATACGGTGACACAGTTGGTAGAACTGTTGCCTCTCAGTGAGAAGGTTGCTGGATTGAATCCTAAACCATTCTGGGTGCAATCTGCATGTTCCCTCCATGCATGCATGGGTTTTCTCCCACAGACCAAAAACATGCACATTAGGGTGAATGGTAACTAAAATGTCCCTAAGTGTAAGTGAGAGTGAATGGTTGTTGGTCTCGTTTGTCTCTATGCGTCCCTGTGATGGACTGGAGACCTCTCCAGGGTGTCCCCGCCTCTTGTGCAGTGATAGCTGGGCATGGGCACCAGTGACCCCCGTGACCCGAAAAGGAAGAAGCAGGTAAAAGATAATGGATGGATGGAACTATATCAACATAAGTGTATGGTATAAGTTCTGAATATCGTATGTGCAGTAATTTTTTTTACATGTATAGTTTTTTTCTTCTTTCAGCTGCTCCCTTCGTCAGGGGTTGCCACAGCGAACTAACTCGCACAAAGACCTGGCAACTATTTTTTACGCCGGATGCCCTCCCTGACACAACCACAGACCACTGAGCTACCACAGCCCTCGGTGTGGAGCAGAGAGCTGCCATCTAGGACGCCCAGAGGAGCAGAGCTCGGAGCTCGCCTATATGTATAGTATTACATATAAAAATCTTTTGATATGGAGTGCATCTTTAAAATTCTCTTGTTCTAAAAGGACAGAGCACTCCACTTCATCTCTCTTTGAAGCAATGAGACAGCCTGAGTTACACAGGCCAAACACACTGCCAAAATAAGCCAGGTTGAAAAAGAGTAAATATATTGATGCATGTCCAGATCACTTTAACCTGGCACCACTCCCCATCTGAAGCTAGTAGAAAATAGAGAGTGCAAACAGTTGAGTAAATACAGCCTTGATGCTGGCGAGTCTCTTTCCATTTTACCTCTCAGTCAAACAGCAGGAGCTGAAAGGTCTCAGGAATGCTGCAGAAGAAAGGAACATGTTTGTAAGTGTCTTGTTCTTTGTCTCAGTGCATAGAAAAAGATTTGTGCACTGACTGGAGTAAAACAATCGCAAGGTCAGATGTGAGTGAAAAGAAAATAAATTTTTGACAGTGACAAGGCTGGAGTTTTTTTTAATTATTATTATTATTTTAAATTAAAGCCTTGACAAAGATGTTTGTGTTTAAATGACAGCTTGGCTGTGATTTTTGCTTTAATTTTTCTCTGAACAAGTTCTAACACTAACATCTATGACAAACTTTTCTCTTTTTTCCCTTCCTTTCATGCAGTTTCTTGTACTGACCTTCTTTCTTTCTTTCTTTCTTTCTTTTCAGTTGGATGTCATGGCATATGTGCCGGCGCTCCAGGACAATCTGTTTGTTGTTGGCTTTTGTAACCGTTTTCTTCCATCTCCTCCTGACCCTTGTCTCTGTTTCCATTCACCACCTGCCCTGTGACGCCCCACTGCCACCCAGGACCCACGTCCTTAGAGACTTGGCACACGCCAACACATCGATGGGAACCAGAGGAAATTCGGAGCCTCCAGCTGACAGCCAAACAGATACGTCCAATAAAGATGGCACAAAACACCCAAATGGTAACGCATTTCCTGGCAAACTCTATGTGAAAGGAAGTAAAAGCATCCAACCCATGCAACTGAGAGCAGGCCACAATGGAAATGAATCTGAGGAGACTGATTTGCTAAAACTGAAGGCGCTGTTTGACCATCCACTTTACAACGTTCCCAGGCCAGCTGTCCCTGAGGACGACTGGCTTCTCAAAGTCAAACCAAAGGTCAAGAGAAGTGAGCGGACCTCCCAGATGTGGTCAGTATGATACAATTAATGTGTAATAGACTCTCTCTCTCTTGCTGTGTGTGTGTGTAGGTAGTGAATGTGTGTGTAATTAGATTTATCCTCCGACAGCTCCACTTTAAAGATCAACAAGTGCATTCCTCAAATCGTTTTCTTTAACCGAGCATACAAAAACTGCAACACTATTCTCTGCTAAGCCAACAGAATGAGTTGGACAGGAAAGAAAATAAAAGAGTTTAAACATCTTCTTGTGCAGTTCTACACAAAATACTCGTCATGCATATTTTACAAGAAAAAAAACGAAACAAAACATTATATAGAAGATTTTCCCTAGATGAGTCAGACTGCAGGGAAGCGACACAGATTTATGCTGCCTAAAATGGATATACTGAAAATAGTGTCTCTTCTTTGCATTTAAACACTGTATATTGTAACAAACCTGCAATAAGCCAACGGTACCCTTTAATGAAACTACTTATGTGAAACAAACATTCTGACAGCATTTCTCAGGGGAATTCCCTTTACTTAACAGGATAGTTAGAGTGTAGTGGTCGCAAAATATACCTTTTTAAGTCGTGAACAAAACAATTATAATAATTTTTGAAAGTGGCTGAATATTACTTGTACTGTGACAATACTCCCTAACCGGCCACCTGTTCCGTTGCTTTCTAACACAAATAGCTAATCAGTCGATCACACGGCAACAACTCTGCATTTTAGGATTTAGACATGGGTAAGACAAGCTACGATTCAAACTGAGCATCACGTTGATAAAGATAGAGGACTTGACTTTGAACATGGCATGGTTGTTTGTGGCATATGCTCTGGTCTGAATATTTCACGAGCTGATAGTCTATTGGGGTTTTCATGCACAACCATCTCTAGACACAGAGATGTCCAACTCAGTGTTTCCCCTAATGTTATCCAAGCAGGGCGCCCTGCCTACGGAAATGTCCTTCATCCACTACACCCCCACCCCCATCAACAACTGCTGGCACTAAAGTAGCACTAGCTGCGCGCAGTACACATGCGCTAGTACTTAGTGGTTACTGACGTAGTGCTCCGCTTCTCTCACGAACCCCCCTAGTTGACAATTTTTTTTAAAAACAAAATCTCCTAAGAGATGAGCGCCCTTGCCAAGGCTAGTGACCAGGGGAAACACTGTCAGTTACAAAACGTTAACTCCAGTCAGATACCTGACATTTGTCAGTTGCAGGTTCCTCAACAATAGTTTCATCTGTCTCATTTGACGTTCTGTTGCTTTTTCTGAATCAAATTCAAAGATTGCTGACAAGACTGGGTTTTAGGATTTGTGCACAACATCGGACAACAGGAATGGTTTAACAGATTTATTGAAATATTGCTGCTGGTGGAGGTCTGTGGATGGGGACGGGTCCAATTTGCAGAGATAGGGAGATTAGTGAATTTGGCTTTGCTGTGAAGGTGTGTAAGAAACTGTCCAGATGACCTGACTGAAAATTGTTGGATTGTATACCTGGATTATTGAGCATGGACTTTGTTGGTGAAGGTTTAGGGTTTTATAATGGCAGTCACTAACCTTCACAGTTGAGTAAGAAAGGGACTCCTTCAGAGAGCTGGTGAGGCTGACGTCATGTGCTGTGAGCAGGCTGTAGCAGAGAGAGGATTATGCAGAGTGTAGCTTTAGGGATTGTCCAGGGGCAAAGTCCGGTAGAGCTAGCAGGGGTCAAGAACCTTTGAGCAGAAATCCAAAGACACATCCAAAACGTGATGCGTGAGGCATAGTCGTGATAATAATAAACAGGGTCGGTACCATGGTCAGAAAGCAGAATCCAAATCAGGCAAGAGTCAGACAAGGTGAGGAATCCAGAAGACAGGTGTGGGGTCATAACAAGACAGGTAGACAAGACTTTATGGCAAGGACGTTGGACATCTACTATCACAGAGAGTTTGATAATCTGGCAACTAGTCAATGAGAGCTTGGGGCTTAAATAGGGAGGAGAAGAGGTTCATGAGATGAAGTCTGAATACAGAGGTGAAGCAAAGTGGGTGTGGCATAGGGTGACAGAAGCAGAGCTTGACCATGAACAGGTGAACAAAAACAGAGACAGAAACGTGACAATTGCAGAAAAAACAAAGTTGGCCAGACATCATGAGAAGTCTTGAAAAAAGTGTGCTCAGTTTTTCACTATAATGAGAAGCAATAAACATTTATACTTTTAAAATGTTATCTTACGGCCAGATAAGATGCTTAAAAGGGCCATAGTCGGCCCTTGGGCCTTCAGTTTGATATATGTGCTCTAGAGTTTACAAAAAAGAGAAAATATCCATTGGACAGCGTTTGTGAAAGTAGATGGATGCACATATGAAAGAAACTATACTATCTTAACAAAACGTTTTCATTTCAAAACCTCCCTAAAGATTATAGATATTTACAGCAACTTGATTAAATTGAACAAATTAAATTAAATGATTGAAAGAAGTCTTAATGCAATATACACACA